CTATTAAGATGTGGGATGTTAGTGCTGGAATATGTATCATGACTTTGGTGAGATTTTGTACTCAATTTGAAGGAGATCGACCTAGTGTTTTGATCAATTAATCAATCAATTTCAATCAATTTAATTTTATTGCAAAAAAATTTAAATTTTATTTTATTGGTATGTTTTGATTGAATTAAAAAGGATGATAAACAATAGCAATATTGTTAATTGTGTTTTTTTTTTGTATTCTTGACTAATTAATGTAGAGAGAAAAAGCATGATTGTTTAATAGAAAAGTGAATATATTATCTATAAATAATTATAATTAGTAATTTTAATACATGAGATTGTTACATTGCTCGAATAATCGCTGCTCTCGATTATGTATTGGAGAATGAAAAGAAGAATAAAATAATATCTTGTCTAAATCTCTTATGTAGAAAATAATTGTGCATACTACATGAGCCTAAATGTGAATTTGCAATAACAAACCATGATTGTTTTTAGGTGGGTCATGATAACTGGGTGCGTGGAATACTGTTTCATCCTGGTGGAAAGTACATCATGAGTGCGGCTGATGACAAGACTCTCAAAGTCTGGGATTACAAGAATAAGCGCTGCAGTAAGACTCTGGAGGCTCACGATCACTTCACCACATCCCTAGGTATGTTGTCATAATAGCAACAAACACTTATCATAATCATAATATTTATCATCATTGTTGTCAATATCATCATCTCCAACCAATCACGATCATCATTGTTGTCATCACCTTCATCATCATCATCCTCTATCCTCACATAAATGTCTTTATATCCAAGTCAAATATATGCTGACCTTGAAATAAATTAGTCATTAAAATACTCTGCTTGCTTATCCACTTAAGCAAGTTTCATGCAAATCGCACTTCACAACATAATCATTTTTGTTGCTGGCAGTCACAACATATCAACAATACAAACACTGTTTAGTAGTTATCCATTGTGTTTTTCATAAGAGATTACTCTATGGCCTCTTATACAAGGAACACTCTTAGACACTTAGTGGTCACTGAACATGACAAATTTATATTACTGTGTGTGCCTTACTAGCCACAAGTAACAAATTGATTTTTTTTAAACTTATTTTTATTTTGTGTAGGATTTAATAGAGACTACAAATTATGCCATTTATTGGTTCCTTTGTTTATCTATTGGCATTGTTATTTTCTTTAAAATTTTTCATATGATTTCTAGTAAAAATTAAAATGCATATAGATAATAATAATAAGGTAATTTTGTCTCTATTGCTTTATAGATTTCCATAAAACTGCACCCTATGTCATCTCTGGTAGTGTTGACTTGACTCTAAAAGTCTGGGAATGTCGCTGATCATAGCGCCCTAACTTTAGTGCTGCGACGACCATGGCTCATCCAGCATATTTATCTGTTCAACTCGCTATTGTAAAGGTGTAAGCGGTACTGTCAACAAAAGAAAAATATACCTTAACTTCTATTAAGCTTAACCGTAAAAAAAAAGTTTAAAGTAGGCTATTGCTTTAAGCATCGATGAAGATAGTTCAGGATTAAGTCAGTGCTAGGGTAATAATGTTCCCCCATGCAAGCCCTCTCACCATTTGGCCTCTACTGCTAGGCTATCTAAGTAGTTGTTAAGCCTTGTTTCTTGGGATGAAGTCTGTTGGAAACGAGCTAGATATAGAAGAGGTTGTGCTTACGGGAGGGCTGGAAGAATTAAGAAGCAGGGGGCGGGAACATTTCTCTTTTAGGTTAAGATAGAAATAAGATGCAATTATTGATAACGTCAAGTCTACATCACTATGGATAATGTTCGTGATAAAGCTATGGGAGAGACATAGAAGTAAAAATAAATGCTTGAGCATTATTAAAGAGGTGATAAGGAGGATTGGATGCTGGTGGTACCAGTTTTCGAGTCAGGTGGACTCAACCGGTGCCATACAGTATTTCAAAGACAATGTTCTCCCTTGATGGTACACCTGCCACTACAGGTAGCCATCTTGAGGCAAGGTGTCAGCCTCAGGTATATCATGTAACCTGGAAGAAAGGGATGTTGTATCTCATTGTGGAGCTGTTTGGTAAAATTAAAGGCATTGTCCACATTTGTAAATTATTTAAAAATGAAAACAATTGAAGCGTTACACTATTTCATGTCATGCTTTGCAGTCAACGTAGATAGTAATTAATAATTAACTATTTTTGTGAACAATAAATTAGACATGAAATGAAAATTTGATTAATGGAAAAATAACCGAAAAACAACCTGAAATTGTGCGAAGAATTGCCATGTATTATAATTGAATAATGGACAATACTAAATTGAACTGACTGCGTAGTTGTATTGTTCTTATTTCTGCTATTTGTGTATTGTGATCATTATTATTTTTGTATGGGGCTGTTAAGATGTTTTACATCCTTTAATATAATATTTGCAGTTGCAGCATGCCATATTGTAGGGGGCGCTATTTAAGTCGTATTCAACATACGGATAGTTCAGCAAACAAAACTATGTAGCATTTAAGACTGAGAGTATAGCAACACATATTCTGATCAGATATCAATTTTTGAGTCAAAGTGGTATGTAAGATGAAGTCCCATGCTATGTACATAACAATTTCTCCTGTGAATTGTTGTTCTCTACTAGTACTATAAGCCTCTGTGTTATTTAATAAATAAGATAAACTAACTCTGCTTCCCTTATATGTAACATGGTAGAGCAGAACTTTTTTGCTGCGACATCCAAGCTCAAACCATACAGCCATTAGACTGGCACTGTTTTCATATACCTTAAGACCGGCTTACTAAACATTAAATATTTTTTTTTTAAGCATGTATAATAAACAGCCGCACATAACCTTGTGAATTTCAGGGAAGATGATGTGCAGTAGGCCTAATAAAATAGTTCATAGTATATACCAAAATATTGTCCTGTATAGCACTTAAGACTGTAATAGCAATTAACAAGACATACACACATGTAGTAATCACAGTTTGAGGCACTGTAGGTAGATATAAACAGAATTATAAATACTCAAACCTGCCCAGTTAAGGGGCATTTAAGTCATATTGTTGACTCACAATTAACCTATTACTGCTCTGTCACTTGGTGTCATAAGTCAGTGGTGGATTCAAAGGGTGGCCCAGCCGGCCCGGGCCCCGTAAATTTTTTAAAATCCTAAAAAAAGAAAGAAATGGAGAAATAAGAAAATTATATTCATATTTTAGGATTTCATTTCTGGCCATCTAGAGGTACCATAATCATAGTTCCAACCATGTTGTGGGGCTGAGGTGGTAAACCCTTCATCTGTGAAAGTCCCCCCTCCTGAGTTTCCTCTATTTCAAATTTCTGGATCCACCACAGTAAGTATATTTCTTAAAAATAAAGCATTACCGGTAGAAATTCACAGAAAATTACAATGATTGAAAACAGTATGTCAATAATTGGAAGTTAATTATTCATTGAGTGATGAGGATCAAATTTGCCTGCCAACAAATTGAATAAATAAATGGTTAATCATTAATAATATAAGAACGATATTTGAAACCATTGCATTTCACAATTTATCAATACTGTATTGCTACATGTTAATCCAATAATATTTAGGGCACATTGTATGCAACTTTTTGTACTGTAACTGTTCATTGAGTGGGTTAGATGTGTAATGCATTGTGCATATTGTCAATTGAAATTAACACCATTACTTGCTCTTGGTAAATTGGGGACACATTGCATAATCCATACCCACGGGTTGGGGGTTAGCAGAATCTTGCAAACTGTTACCCAGCACTCAATCACATAGAGGCCATGTTGGCATGATCACATCTATAAAAACTGGTGTATTTATATCACAGTGGGAAGATGGATGTTAGCCAGATGGCTGTTAACAATTCTAATCCCCACCGTAGATTACCCTCCCATGGCTTTACTTCTACTAATAACTACGTCTACCTTAAACGACTAACAACAAAAATATACTCATCTAAAGTATTAATTTGAGTAACCTACACACAAAATTTAGCATGTGCAATGTGGATATGGGGTGTGCATTCTGATACTGATACAAAATGCACTGCAACTTATCACTTAGTGCTCCAGCCAACCCCCAGCTATAGTGACCTAGCCCAGGTCAGTATGTTTTATGTCTCCTCGGCTGAAGTGATATAGCCTTCGGTCGGTATGTTTGTATGTCTGGCTAAAAGTGATCTAGCCTTGGTATATTGAATGTGTCCCTGCCTAGAGTAACCTAACCCCAGAATGTTTTGCACGTCCTCCGCTAAAGTGGTCCAGGCCTAAGTATATTGTATGTTCTCATGGCTAAAGTGACCTAGCCCCAGTATGTTTTATGTGCTTAAGGCTAAAGTGATCTGCCTTAGTATGTTTTATGTGTTTCAGGCTGAAGTGAACAAGCCCTGGTATGTGTGTGTCCAGCCCAAAGTGATCTGACTCCAGTTTGTATTGCTGGGCATTTGGTCAAATGATCTAGTGTTGACACTGGATCATGCAATCTATCCCCCAGTACATTTTGCGTTGACATGCTCTGTAATTGTGTGTAAAGTAGATGTAAAAATGATGTTTGAAATGTGAGGAGGTGCCTTGCTCTATCATTTTATAGCTCATCATAATGCATTTCAAAATTTATGTTGATCATTAAGCAAAATTGCATTTGAAATTGACTTGAAAAATGTTGGAAACAAATAAGAAAAATTGTTTGTTTGAAATGTTAAGTACAGTATTTCATTCCTAATTTTTACATACCAGCTAATCACATTTGCCATCACACCATTAGAAATTCCTTGAGAATAAGGTGGTGTGAACTTGCATATAATGAAGTGATCTGATTGGCTGCTGTATCCATTTTCTTGAAGTTTTGTTAATAAGTTGCATACTTCAAAATACATATCTTAATATTAGTATATATATATATATAATTGTGTGTATTTAACTATAATTTTTGTTGTTTATTTCAGTATAGATTGATACTGCTAATATAGGTGTAATTATTTTTTATTACGGTCAGATTTGGTTTAAATTTAATCTAACACGTTTAGAAATTCTGCTGTCACACTTTTAAGAATTATATTCCATGGGATTAGCAACAAAATTAAAATTTTATATCGATAAAATTTAAAGATTGTTATAGATATGAATTAATTATTATGTAGTTAAACACATTTGCAAGGTTCCTCCACACAAATTTCAGTTACTCAATGATAGATTACATTGTAAAAAAAAATATAAACACTTTTAAATAGTGTTATTTAAAAAAATAGGTTTTAATCTTCTGGGCTGATAATCTCTCTTATGTGTTTGCTGTTAATTGCATAGTGTTGTGTGTATATATCCATATACGCGCATACATATATATATATATAAATATATATAATACCAAGTAGATGGCCTGTATTGTCAAATAAAAACCATTTTGTTTCTCAAATCAGCTTTCTAGCACTTTTTCTTGTCATTTTTTTATTTTTCTTTATGTTTTATGATATACTGTGAATGGTATTGAAATAACCTGAAATAGAGGGCAGCAAATATGTAGTTTATACAATGAAAATATCCGACGAAAGACAGCAAAAAAAAAAAAAAAAATTATAGATGTAGTATTGGCTACTTGAAAAAAACAGGACCACATCATTCATGCCGAAAGTACAATTTAGGTATGCCTTACTGAGCTGTCAAATTTTAGGGATTAAAAACTTTTAGTGCGAGCTGTGCTACCATATGTGTGAGGTGTTGTATACTACTATCGCAATCGTATGGGTTGCGGTGGTGTACCGCAAGATCTTTCCCGACAGGGGGCTGGTACCTCTGACAGGTGGCACCATAATCAACACAATTTTTCCCCCGACCGGGTTTGTGGGGGGTTAGGCTTTCCCGATGGGGGAGGGGAGCTTGGACCCCTTGTCGGGGAGCTGGACCCCTCGTCGGGGAATTCCTGGCTCCGCCCCTGCAAAATGGATTAGAAAGCCACATAAAAAAGGCCCCAAATCTAAGATGGCCAACAAAATCCAAAATTATGATTAATATACTGTACTTTTATAAATTTGTTTCTGTCAGTGGCCCAGAAAATTCCGGCGTTTGTATAAAACATCAGAAGGTTGCAGTTTCGAATTCCGCTTGGGGAAACTTTAGGAGAATCCATCCATGATCCATATAAATCAAGATAGCCGTTAACACTGTTATTTATATGTAAACATATCTATATATATTAAACAATATATATAATTTATTATATTATATATAATTATATATACACCGTATTTACATTTCTTTGATGATTTATATATATATATATGTATATGTATATATTCTTATACACATCTCGACTCAGAATTTTATACTGAACAAGAAAACGTTGGTGCCGATTTTTTCGAGAAGGTTAACTGGCCGCCTTCCTTGGAAAACAAGATGGCGGAAGCATCTGGTGAAAACATAATATTATGTGTATCATTGGAAAGGAAATCATGCACTGAATTTTTTTTTAATATAGGGTCTGTGCTAATATGAAGAAATGCATAGAAACTAAGATTTTCGCCATTATAAACACGTCATTGTCTGCTGCCCTCTCTTGGTGAAAATTTCAATTTTATTGTTTTTATGAAATTGGTGGTTTTCTTGGTTCTAATACTGATATTTTGTAGTCTTATTTTTGTAACTAATTCGATACATTGATAAAGAAAATCCATTTGTATTTTTTTTTTCATTAAACAATGTATAAATAACCATATTATTTGCTCATTGCAGTGACAGTTTCCTGTCAATACAGTATATATTTTTAAGTGCATGTTTACAGCTGCATGATATTCTGGTATTTTTTTCCAGTCTAGGCAAAAACAAAATCGTTTAGCAGACTGCTTGTTTATGAGAGCAATTGGTAAATAATAATATACTTTTTCTGATACTTCTCAAATTATAATAAAGGCACGCGCACTCGAGTCGTGTATTACAGATAATTCAGGTGTTAGTGGGCAGAGGTACCGGTATCTTGCTATATGTACAGTAATCTAAGTGTACAACGCTCTTTCGTTAAAACTTAGGTCTTTTTTATGCAGTTCATTTCAACAACTTGCATGCATCTTCTTTACTTATGAAATTACATTGTGGTCGGAAAGTGAGTGGGACCAAAACCCCCTTAAAAATATGGGGGGGGGGACGTGTCCCCCGTCTCCCCATGATCTGCTCTCATATTGGCACTCCAGCAATACCCGGTCCCCTCAAGGGGCGGACACCATGGTTGAAAAAATGGCTCCTCTGCCGGCAAATAGCACATGCATACTTTAGCCACTTTACAAAAATGAATGTCCCTCGCTTTAAAAGGGTGATAAATTTAGATTGCAAGTAATTAGGGCTGACTTGACCATTAATACCTATACCGATTCCATCGGAGTCGTTTTTTTAAAAGTCGATTCTTATCTTACAATCACATCAACATAATAACTATTATAGACATCATGATTACCGCCATCATCATCATCATCGCCATCAACATCATCATCATCATCATCAATCATCATAACCACCACCACCATCACCATCACCATCCATCATCATGATCATCATCATGATCATCATCATCATCATCATCATCATCATCATCATCATCATCTTCATTATTATTATTATTATTATTATCATAGTTACCAACCTGAGAGATTTGAAATGCGTGAGTGACCAGTTGGCTGGGAGGTCCAAGCGGCAGGGGACACGCCCGTCCCCTCCCCCGCTCCCCCCCCCATATTATCATCATTATTATTATTATTATTATTATTATTATTACTGTTATCATCAGCACCCTCATCATCCTCATCGTCATAAAGGAATGGCGCACCAGACGAAGAATAATGAATTGTTTTTATACCACTCCAGGTGGTGTTTTACATATAAAAATTACTCAATCGACTACGAAGGAGACTTTACAA